AGAGTATTGCTGTTGTTTTTGGACCTTGCTAAGGCTTTCGACACGGTCCTCCCGATAAGCTAATCGAAATTCTTTCTTCACAGCAATGGTATAATGGCTTATGATTTATTGAGGGATTATGTTTCAAACAGACCACAACTGCTAAAACTAAATAATGTAACAAGCAATGAAAAATAATAAAGAGTGGTGGCCCGCAGGGTACTGTTTTGGGACCGCTCCTTTTTATAATTTATATAAATAAGATGCTAAAGCTGGACACGGGGGGTTTAACTATTTCTTATGCTGACGATACTGTACTTCTTTTGCAGGTTCTAGTTGGGAGGATGTAAAGTGTAAACAGTGTATGGTCTAGGTATGGTAAAATACTGGTTACAAGAGAGTAACTAACATTGGATTTATCTAAGACAAAACTATATTGCGTTTTCGTTGACCAATAAAACAGACCAAATTACAGCACTATTATGTTGGATGATAATTATTCTGTTAAGGAAGTGTCTCAAACTAAATATCTTGGAATCATTATTGACCAACATTTAAAGTGGCAGATGCATGTTGATTATGTATCGAGTAGAGTTAGAAAATTAATCCATAAATTTTATCTACTGCGTGACTTTCTCAATAAAAAAATTTAATAACAGTTTATAGCATTTGTAGAATCTATAATTAGATATAGGATATTAGTATGGGTGGATTGTATAATAATGCTCACATAAACTCATTATTATTCAGAAATTATTATTAAAATTATTTTAAGAAAGATAAAAGATTCCCACTAATCACTTTTTACAGAGGAGTGTGTAATATTAGATCTTTGTACGTGATGACAGTATATACTTTTATTTATAGAAGTGAAAACTACAGAAACAAGTCAAACTACTGTACTCGTGCAAATGTAGACGGGCAAATAGAAATTCCCAAGAAAACCATAACCTAAACTTAAGATACATAACGTATTAGGGCCAAAGATATATAACATTCTGCCAGAACACTTGAAAAAGATGAAAATATTAAAATATCTGGCACCAGCTGCAGAGAATATATTTTTGAGAAGCTGCACAATTTGAAAGGTTTTTCTAATGATTTCTTGTGTCATAGTATGATTGAACTATTGTTTGGGATATTGAGGTTGATTATGTTTTTTGTCCGGATGATGAAAGCACATACAGGTGGTTTGAATCATCTAGACGCATCTTTCTGTCATCAGGATGTCCTTGATGAAGACGAATTATATTGTTGTGTTATATATTTATGTGTATTTATAATTTTTGTATGGTCTTTGTTGGATGTTATTGTTATTAAATAAATAAATAGATTTATTCTCTTTTCATTACCTTATAGTTGTGGCCACGCAGGTGGTTGGCGTTGAGCCAGAAAAGTGAGAATATGTTAGTGCCCAAGAACCTATGCAAAGCTCTGTATGCGATTATTAAGTCCCCTCGTAAGCGTCTGTGGGAGAAGTGAGTTAAGTTGAATGTATTCAACCTCTTTCAAACCAAGGTCGTTGGATACCGTACGGGATGTGTGTAGCTCTGAATATTTTCAAACAGGTGGAGGAAATTCCATAATTGGCCTAACATATGACGTGCATTATCTTTCAATAAGGTATAGATTCCTTTTGGCCTTAGCCGTTGAGTATGGATATGCTTGAACTATGACAGACTATCCGATACGAGGTGGCAGCTTCGGTATAAAAAATTCATGATTTTTTTAATTCTCAGGCCGTGGCAACGTCAGAATCGAGCGTGGAAGTATGGTGGGAGCCCGTACCTTCGAGAGGAAAAGTGATTGGATACAAGATTTTCTATACGATGACAGCCGTTGAAGATTGGACGAATGGCAGCAAAAACGGGGGTCTGACGGAGTCAGCACATTTGGTGAATTTGGAGAAATTTGCTCAATATGCCATTGCTGTGGCAGCTAGGATGAAGAATGGATTAGGACGACTTTCTGAAAAGGTTTGGAAATAAATTTGATGCTTAATATGCAAGGATTAGATATAGAACGATTTTTTCATAGTCATCATAATTTTGATTGACTGAAAAGTTCTCTCGTAGATACAGGATGTTGACAATGTCACTGATAGACTGGGCAAGGACAAAACATATTGTTCAAATAATGATGGGATATGATTACTCTCATAATACACTATATCTGTACATCAGAGCCCGATTAGGGCAAGTCCAAAAAGTTAATTTTTCAGTATAGCCGATTATAGATCCATCAACAGAAATTTGACGACTGTGCCAACATAATGCCATGAAATTGGTTTATACAAATGGATAAAAAGAAACAGTTTGAGGTAATCCTGATGTTTTATAACTTTTTGGTCATTTTTGTGACTTAACCTAATTTGGCTTTAACAAAAAAATTAAAGTTCGACTTTTATATATATATATATATATCTCATGTGGATCGGTAATCTCATCCATGTGGATCGGTAATCCTTTCAATTCCCAGCAATAAGTCACCTACCAGAAATATCGAATATATATCAAATTTGATTCGTGTATATCCAACAAAAAGGCAAACTGATCCAGGATCAGCTCAAAAAACTGTACATTAACATTTCGGATTTTCATATAAAGTCCGCTATATAGGTCTACCTTTTAAAAACCGTAAGATGTGTCCTCTACCGGAATACCCTTCAGATCACAAAACGGCATTCGGTCCCCCAGAATACTCAAATTAACTAAACACCAGTAGATAAGTCATCCGTGCAGTGGTGCCAAGTTTCATTTATTTCTCTTTACATAATACTACTGAAGTCTCCTAGGACTTGTATTATTATATTATTTTTCAAGGATCTCCAATGGATATAACCAAAATTCTTTCCAGCAACTTTGAGTACACTATTTGCTCGATTAAGACTATACAAAACGTTGCTAGCATACGACAGAAGGATGCCCAACGTTTCGTAAATTATAACTTACCTATGCAAAAATTATCAGATCATCGAGCAGCCCACACAATCAAGAATACTTTTTTCTATTACATGTCCAGGAGGTTGTATGAACTTTCAGATCGAGCACTTTGCTTTTCCAATAGCCTATGTCGTATCGACGACATCCTAATGATGATAAGCTTTAGACGCGTAATTTCCAAATCTGTGATATTAGCAGTTGAAATACTTCCCTGCCCTCCGGTTCGCAAAAAACAGCATTGAGTATCCTAAAATACTTGAATTACCTAATCACTATACTGAGCCTTACAATCATGTGACGTTATCTTTGGATAAGGAAATCACCATTCATGTTTGGTACCATCTATCTATGAGAATATTCCTAATCTTGAAATAAAATCGTATATCAACGATTTTCTCTAATAGCTCAGACTTAACCATATAGTCACGCCAACCAAAAGCCATATGATACAATCGTCCATCAAAATACCTTCGGATTCACAAAAAAACAGCACTGAGTCTCCCAAAATACTTGAATTTACTAAACCCTGCTAGATCGGTCTTCCGTGCAGAATAAATACACTTCTACCCTACGATTCACAAGAAACCAGCACTGAGTCTCCCAAAATACTTGAATTTACTAAACACTGCTAGATCGGTCTTCCATGCAGAATACTCTTCTACCATACGATTCACAAGAAACCAGCACTGAGTCTCCCAAAATACTCGAATTAACTAAACACTGGTGGATCAATCTCCCATGAAGAATACTCTTCAATACGCAAACCAGTGCTGAGTCCTCCACAATACCCGAACTAGCTGAATGGCGTACGTCTGACGTCAGATCGGTCTCCCGATCATTTTAATTCCAGTCAATAAAGCGCGTGCGCCCGGGGATAGGGTTTGTCGGTTTGTCTAAGATCTGAGAATTCATTTATTGGCACCAATCGTGCTGGAAGGACGTTTCAAATCTGTTGTGTATTCAAGAGTGTGTCTGAAAGGACTGTTGAGGTAAGTATGACTTTTTGAACTCTTATGCAATC